GAACTCCTCAAACTCAACACACACATAACAGATAATCATGGCAAAAAATGGGCAGAAGACATGAATAGACACTTCTCCAATTAAGACATACAAATGGCTAACAGACACATGAGAAAATGTTCATCATCATTAGATTCAAATCAAAACCACATTGAAATACCACCTTACACCAGTTCGAGTGGCCAAAATCAACAGGACAGTAAACAAGTATTGGAGAGGATGTGGAGAAAGGTAACCCTCTTACACTGTTGGTGGGAATGCAAGTTGGCGCAGCCACTTTGGAAAACGGTGTGGAGATTCCTCAAAAAATTAAAAATAGAGCTACCCTATCACCCTACAATTGCACTACTGAGTATTTACCCCAAAGATACAGTGTAGTGAAAAGAAGGGCCATCTGTACCCCAATGTTCATAGCAGCAATGGCCACAGTTGCCAAACTGTGGAAAGAACCAAGATGCCCTTCAATGGACGAATAGATAAAGAAGATATGGTCCATATATGCAATGGAGAATTATGCCTCCATCAGAAAGGATGAATACCCAACTTTTGTATCAACATGGATAGGACTGGAGGAGATTGTGCTGAGTGAAATAAGTCAAGCAGAGAGAGTCAATTATCATATGGTTTCACTTACTTGCAGAGCATAAGGAATAACATGGAGGACATTGGGAGATGGAGAGGAGAAGTGAGTTGGGGGAAATTGGAGGGGGAGACAAACCATGAGAGACTGTGGACTCTGAGAAACAAGCTGAGGGTTTTGGAGGGGAGGGGGGTGTGGGGTGTGGAGGGCCTGGTGCTGGGTATTAAGGAGGGCACATATTGCATGGAGCACTGGGTGTGGTGCATAAACAATGAATTTTGGAACACACGCACACACACAAATTTTTAAAAAAAGTTTTATTTGAACAGTACAGTAAAAACAACAGAAATTTTAATGCGAAAGAATGGGTGTAACACATACCACAAATGTCCTAAATTTGTAGAACATAAAATTACTTCTTGATCATCGGTGCAATAAGTCACTCATTTCCCTGGATTTAAATTGGATATATTCTTAAAAATGAATTTAAACCTCATGTATAGTCACTATTTCTTGAGGAAAATGGAATGGAAAAAGGAAAAGAGCTCTTAAAGCAATGTCTCTCACAATGTTATATTAGGACCACTAGCCTCAAAGTTCTCCTAGGGCATAGGGCCAACCAAACTGCATTTTGGAAAAGTACCCCCAGTGAGAAAAATGTCCTTTGATGGTTCACCATATCATTGGCGTTGGTGTAGCTTTGCCCTCAGATGCCGGTTAAACTTTCCACCTCCAAAATTTTGATCCACCAGTTCCTTGAGTCATTAGATCTCAGGATCTCTGTCTTCCTGGACTCAAAGTTCATCAGAGACATCATGACAGCTTATTCCTTTTCCAATTCATCTCATATTCTAAGAAAAACTCACTGTCCCTTACAGTGATATTTTTCAGAGAAGTCAATGACAATGAATGTGGAACTGTCACCATCAAACACACTATAACAGGGTTGGGTTTTTTGCTGTATTTGGAGTTTTCTTACATATCAAATTACCAATTCATTAAAGTTAGACACGTGCGGGGCCCCTGGGTGGCTCAATGGGTTAAGCCTCTGCCTTCGGCTCAGGTCATGATCTCAGGGTCCTGGGATGGAGCCCCGCATCGGGCTCTCTGCTCAGCGGGGAGCCTGCTTCCCCTCTTTCTCTGCCTGCCTCTTTGCCTACTTGTGTTCTTTCTCTCTGTGTCAAATAAATAAATAAAACCTTAAAAAAAAAGTTAGACACGTGCCTCTTTACCTCTGTGATAGTTTTAGTTCTTCATAGAAAAGTTTCCCTTTCCTTTCAGAAGCTTCATACTTTTATTTAAATTAGAATATGATTTTTTGTTGATTTCTTTGTATGCAATTTAATCAGTGTGCTTCTTGAATTTTAAATCACTTTAACTATGATTATCTTACAACAATCATGTGATCTTAACTTTGAATATAAATAAAAATGTGTGTAAGTGTTCTAAAATATTAGCTCCTGACTTATTGATAATCAAAATGACACTGTTTCCTTTGTATCAGTATTCAAATATATATTCATTGGAAGCTATACTCAGAATATTATACCCTTACATGTATGTCTGTATGAATGTAAATATGGCTCTTATTAGGAATTTAATATCATCAAAAAAGAAGAAATAGGAGCAAGTAAATGAATAAATCAGTTTTATTTTTCGCAGTGCAGAGAGTAATTTTCTCTTGGTTTCTGCAAAAAGTGAATAAATATACTTTAAAATGATCAACTCCATGACCTTATGACTTGGCTGTGACATTTGAAGAAATTATTTAATTTCAGATAAACTTTCAAAATAAAATATTACACGAAGTTACATATATAGAAAGCAAAGCCTAAAGTATTCCACTTGGAAAAAGTAAAATTAGGAAAATTCATTAATACTTTAAGATATATGCATGATAAACACCTACATATATACATTACACATACATATTCACTCAAATCCTATGCCAACAAATCTTATTTTTAGTTCTCTCAGCTCTATTTTCTTTTCAATTTTTTAAAGATTTTATTTATTTTTTTGATAGAGAGAGAACAAGCAGGGAGAGGGACAGAAGACCCTCTGAGCCACCCAGATGCCCAGGAATCTTCCAGATATTTTCATCAGAAAAGTTAAAGTAATTCTGTTCATTTAAATCGGAAGCCCAATTTAAAAGACAAATATTGCACAATCCTGTTTATATGTGAAATCTAAATAATGTCTTACTTATTCAAGCAGAGTAGAATGCAGGTTGGCTGGGGTAAGAGGTAAGGAAATGAGGAGATGTTCACAAAGGGTACGAAGTTTCAGTTATGTGATGTGTAAGTTTTGGAGATAACGCACAGCATGATAAATGCAGTTAATAATATGGAATTGCATACTTGAAATTTTCTAAGAGACCTGATTTTAGAGTTCTCACCACACACACACACATTGTAACCATGTGAGACAGTGAAAGTGTTAACTTGATTGTGGTCATCATTTCACAATTTATATGCATGCCAACACATCACGTGTACAGCTTACATTTATACAATTTTTTAATTAGTGAATTATACTTCAATAAACCTCAAAAAAGAAATCTAAATCAGATCAGGCCACTTTTCTGTTCAATCCCAGGAGCTTCTTATATCATTCAGAATAAATGCCAAATTCCGTACAATGAACTCAAAGATTTCATAAGGTATTGTGCCTTGTTATTTGACTTTTTTCCCATTTCCTACTTCATTCCAGCCCCATGTCTCACCGGTTTTTCTTGAACTTGCTCCATATAATTCTTTACAAGTTCTCTACTCTTGTCCTTTGACTACTTAGAATTCTCTCTCTTGACTCATTCACTCACTTCCTCTTGGTTGTAATTTAAATAACAGTGAGGTCTTTTCTGGCCACTCCAAATAGATGCTTTCTTCAACACTTACTTTCTCCAAATTTATTTTGTCTTCGGTACTTATCTCAGTCTCAAATACTCATATTTCTCTGTTATTTCCCCCATGTATTGCCTTTCTCTGCTATAGAATAGAAATGCCTGGCATACTGTAGAGTTCCACAAATAAATATTTGCCAAATGGCCAAATGAATGGACCATCAAGAAGATGAGATAAGACATAAAAAAAGCTAAATTTTCTCTGGGAAGGCAAATGGTCACATGAATGAATTTGCAACCCTACAGAAATAAATTTCTTCCTTCAGTTTATGAAAAACCATTTATTATAGAACTACAAATGTCTGATACTATGCTAGACTCTAGAAATTCAAAGTCTCTCTCCTTTTCTCAGTTTATAAGTACAGAGAAACATATTGATTTAGGTGAACTACCAAATATAATTATTGCCCAAATCACATTTTGAAGTATTTTGTGCCATTGGGATGACAAATGAGTGTTAAGATAATGTGATCCAACTCCAAAAATAAAATAAAACTTCCTGTCTTTCTCTCTTCCACTCTCTTACAAGAAATATCAGCCACTCTTCCATTTAAGGAAAAGTGAAGATTCATAACATTTGAAATGTGAGGGAATCCACCATATGATAACAAAATATATCTTGTTTAATGAAGAAGAACCTTAGTTATTGGTCAACTAATTTAATTCAAAATTCAAATAAATATTTAGATTTTTTGGAAGGCAGCTAAACAAACAAACAAGAAACAAAAAACCTTCTCATTATAAAAGATAAACAGGATTGGAAATGAATAGCATTCTAATTTACATAAAAATGCAGGTAGGCACTAATAGATTTATACTTGTGAATTTAGGTTATACATAGCACAGCAAATTGGATAAACACTATTTATTCATGTTTAAATGGAGTAATGTTAAATACCAAGATAGCCTGTAAGAAAGTACTCAAGAAATAGTCTTAAGGAAAAGAAGAGTTGTTTTTTTTTCTTTTGTTTTGTTTTGTTTTTAATCTATTCAGTGTGGATAATAGAGATGGGAGCATAGTCAAAGGTCTACATGGGTAAGCACCACAATGGAGTCCGCTCAGTGAGTGTGTGCATGGCACACTAGAAACACTGATTTTTTTTTTTAATTTCACAGATTAGGACAATAGATTTTTTTTTCATTAATGAAACAAATATATCAAGAAATATAAATTAAAATATATTTGCATTTGTAAAATAGATTAAGAATATTCAGGGTAATTTTCCAAATGGAATAGAACAGAGCACAGGAATATTGTTTTATCTTTTTTCCAGTTAAAGTCACATCATTGGAAATATTTGAGGGGCACTTATCTAAGAGATTTACATGTTAATGTTCGAACATTTCCAATATATATTAACAATAAATTAATAACAATTATCAATCAACTAATATGTGACAAATATTTTTCAGGCACCGTACAAGTTAAAGAGAAATTAATAGGATTTATATAAACCTGATCTTTCAGATCTTACACTCCTGTTCTTGAGCTCTGGGAATTTCTATTAAGAAACAGAAATATTAAACTCCGCCAATCTGACAGGACGATGAGCTAAACTGAACATCTGCATAGCAATAGCAAAGTCTTCCAAGTGAGTTGTAAAATGACAAAATGATTTGAACTCATCCAAACTAATGCTCTCTCCTGCTGTCAACTTCTCTCTTACATTTTTTCAATAGATGTCTTTATTTTCAGTGTTAGTGAAAAAAAGCAGCCACTCTGCAAAGTCTTCTTTTCTCATGAAACTCAAACCTTTAGAAAACTGAATGAATTCCATTTCTTGGACCTCCGTTTGTAAATTCTCCATAAATCTTCGAAATTCCCTATAATGAAGTTTTCTTTCTCCTCTTTTTCCAAAGAAATATATCTGAAGGGTTGTGGTAATTTCAGGTTCTTTCACTGTTGATTCCTGGCATTCTGTTTCATTAGCTGTTGTCGTCTTCAAATCATCTTGTTTACTTATGATCTTCTGTAGCTTAAAAAATTCCTTTTTCTCAACCATCTCATTACCATCTGCATCCAGCATTTTAAAAGCAACATGAAACCCAGTATGGGGTTTAGGGAGAATTGTAAGCAAGAAAAGATACTCAGTATACGAAATTGGTCCTTTATCACCAAGGTCTCTAAAAAAGGTTGATCCACAATGAGCTGGTTGGATTCCTGCCAGTATATCCTCGATATCCTTTTTTGTCAGCTTCTTCACTGAAGTTTTACGTTCCACTTGGTCAAACATTACTGAAAAGAGGAAGTCTCGTGGTGTCATATAATATTCTCCTTCATGTTCCAGTGAAGAGGGCCGTGAAAGTAGCAACAGGACAGGAGCTCTCCAACAATATTTTGGACACCGTCTTCAAGATCTTTGATGTGGATGGTGATGAATGTCTTAGTCATGGAGAGTTTCTCAGGGTTTTAAAAAACAGGATGCATCGAGGTTTATGGGTACCACAACAACAAAGTGTACAAGAATACTGGAAATGTGTAAAAAGAGAGAGCATTAAAGGAGTAAAAGAAGTCTGGAAACAAGCTGGATGAAATCTCTTTTAGAAAAAGATAATCTGGGAATCCTATTGCACCAGATGTCAGAATTGGGAATTTGTCTAAAATACTAGAATTTGTCTTCTTGATTTTCTTTGTAATATAAAGATGCCTTGTATTTCTGAATCAATAGTTTCTTAATAAAATTTTGTTAAAGAACTTAGTGAAAGTAGATACTGGATTCTGTCAGAAGGCCTAGAATTGAAGCAATGCTTTGTACTTTGATAAGACGGAAAACCTAATTATTCACTGATTTCTTAGACACAGTAGTACCACGTGCTCTTTGGAAGGGTGTCAACTTAGTACTTACAGAAAAAAATACTTGGTACATAAGGTCAATATCAAGTCCAGGAGTCCTGATGTTCCCAGTAGGGCAAATTAAATTAAAAACTTCTCGGGTTTTCTTATCTGTGTTCTCATATCTCATAAGCTTCTTGTGTATTTTATTACAGTTAGCTGTATATTAGTTGTCTTTTAAATGTGTAAATGTCAATATCTTATGTAGAAATAAAATATTTACTCAGATACAAAAAAAAAAAAAAAAGAAACAGAAATATTAAGGAGCCTGGGTGGCTCAGGGGGTTAAGCCTCTGCCTTCAGCTCAGGTCATGGTCTCAGGGTCCTGGGATCGAGCCCTGCATCAGGCTCTCTGCTCAGCGGGGAGCCTGCTTCCTCCTCTCTCTCTGCCTGCCTCTGCCTACTTATGATCTCTCTTTGTGTCAAATAAATAAATAAAATCTTAAAAAAAAAAAGAAAGAAACAGAGATATCCCAATGCAATTAGAACATATCATAATATTTAGTAACAAAGGTTTTTAAAAATTATTCAGATTCATTAATTCATTGACAATCATGAATTTATCAATGATAAGAAAATGGAATTCTTTTTTAAAAAGATTTTATTTATTTTATTTTAGAGAGAGAGCACATGCAGAAGCAGGGGGACAGGCAAAGGGAGAGGGGGAGAGAGAGAATCTCAAGCAAATTCCCCACTGAGCCCAGAGCCTGACCTGGGCTTGATTTCACAACCCTGAGATCATGACCTGAGCCAAAACCAAGAGTCTAGCACTCAACCAACTGAGCCACTGAGGTGCCCTAACAAACAGTGTTCTAAAGATAAGTAAGCTTATCTTCAAGGTATTTACAATTTTAAGTAGGTTAAGATTTAGGGAGAAAAATGAAAATGCGTTCTAAAAATTGAAAACTCCAGGGGTGCCTGGGTGAAGCATCTGCCTTTTGTTTTTGAAGATTTATTTATTCATTTGTCAGAGAGAGAGGGAGGGAAGAAGGGAGAGCACAAAGAGGGGGAGTGGCAGGCAGAGGGAGAAGCAGGCTCCCCACTGAGCAACGAGCCTGAAGCAGGACTGGATTCTAGGACCCTGGGATCATGACCTGAGCTAAAGGCAGACACAACTGACTGAGTCACCCAGGAGTCTCAAGGCGTCTGACTCTAGATTTCAGATCAGGTCATTGTCTAGAGTCATGAGCTTGAGCCCCAAGTAAATCTCCATGCTCAATGGGTTTGCTTGGCATTCTCTCTTTCTCTCTCCCTCTGCTCCTCTCTCTGCTTCCATGCATACACACACTCTCTCTCTAAAATAAGTAAAGAAAATCTTTCCAAAAAAATTGAAAACTTCAAAAACAAAAAGTTAAAGAAACATTTTTAGAGAAAACTATAAAGAGTATGAAATAGAGAGAAAAAAAGAATGATGAAGAACATGTTCGGGAGAAAATGTTTTGGCATTCATCATTAACCACATGCTGGCCATGAGTTTACACTACTTTATTCATTATGTAAATATATAATTTGAGGAAAGATATGAGAATGATACATTTTTTACGCCAATACGTTTTAAAAAAGGATATCCTATTGCAGTATAGAATAACAGTAAATAGAAGGCAAATCACATATAAAGATCACATTGTTACAAATTTAAACACTAAACAATTAATAGATTCTGTAGTGTTATCTTCATGCTGGAAGGATTACTGAATTATGAAAACATTAAAAAATGTCTACATGAAGAATTATTCTTTCAACTACTCTTTTTTTTCCAAGTGAAATAATAAGCCAACGTGTAAATGATATAAAAATTGGCAATGGTATATGACTTTGCTATAAGCAAAGGAAACAAGCAATGTAAGAGAACTCTAAAACCAGAAAACAGTTTTGGCATTCTAATGATTAGGAAATTTGAATGAAAATAATATCAACCATTAACCTTTGACTTCTAGTAAAAAATTATATTAACATTTTAAAATTATCTTTTCATCCTTTATTTTAGCCACTATCTCCTTAGATAGGACTTACAATAAACAGAGTTTTAAACAATGAGTTATACTATCAAAGTAATATAAAATCATATATGAGGAGAAAAAGAACAATGAGTGACAACAAGATTTAGATTGTGCATAAACTAAATTATATATTGCTGAAGAGTACTCTCCCACTATGACTCATTCCTATATGGAGTTAATAGGAACCATTTTTTACTTCTTCCTTTGTTTTAATTACACACACACACACACACACACACAATTTGTATTGGTATATGCTTTATTTATGTTAATTTTTTAAAGACTAAGAAAAATTACTTACAAATCTGTGTTGTATGAAAACTGTTCTTAATTATCACCATGTCTACATTCAAGTGAGGTAGGGTAGAGAAACATTAAGAAACTAGCCATTAATTCTATACTGATCAGGGTTTTTACAAATAATAGAAATCATTCTGCCTACCTAAATTAAAAAATCATTAAAAAGCAGTAGGTAACTCACTGAGTCAACACCAGCCAACGTGACATTGTGCATCAACTGTACTTCAATTAAAAAACAAGAATTATTGTAAAACTGATGTCAGGGTGCCTCTTCTTTCTCATACAGGAGTAGAAGCTGATATCTCTTAAAGCTTCTTTTATTCATGCTGTTCAGAGCCAATTCAAAGGCTCATGGAAGTGCATTTGATTGAAAGACCCTCAGTTACTTTCCCACATTTGAGATCTAAGGAATGCTGGAAAGTGAATTTCCATGCCTCTCATTTAGCTACAATACCACAATTACTTTCTCTATTCTGAAGTTTAAATATGATCAATACAATATATGTTAATTAATAAAGTAATGAGAAAGGAGAAAAAGATAGAAAAAGCAATTCATGTATACCAAATGTACATCACATCAAGAAAGAAAGCATGGTTTGTGATCATCGTTCTCACTTATGAATTTGGTTACAAGGCATATTTGGTGTTAATAACTACTTCAGTCAGATTCCTCTGATGACCCAGCAGGAACCTCAGTTACCTGCTTTTTATTTAACAGTCAGAGTGAACCAGACTTTCAATGCTAAGGAATATGTACACCAGTGTCTAATGTAGAATTTGCTTTAGTCTCCCATTGTTTTCTCTCATCATGGAAGTAATTTTAATTTTCTCAAATAAACTTTTTCCTTAGAGGATTAGCAACTATATTCCTCCTGATCACTAAAATCAACCACCTGAAACAACACAGTAAAACACTTTCTTTGCTTCAACAAGTGGTTCAAGAAACCTTAAATAGGTCATTTCCAAACCAATGACAATACTGAGGAAAATCATTACCAGATACTCGACTCTAAATGCCAAATCACAAACCTAGCTCCTCTGTTCATAAAGTCATACCATGTACACATATTAGATAAGAAATCATAGAAAATTCACTTATATACCATCTCTGCAAATTCTCTTCAGTGTGAAGGACTTAACTTCCAAGCATTGGAACTCATGGATTGAAAAAGGAGATCTTAAATATTTCCATGATAATAGAACAAGAGTTCAATACCACTATCCAAAATTAGCCTCTGTTGTACTCCGAAACTGTCTTGCCCTAGATACTGATTGCCCAGCAAGGAGAAGCTTGTATAAACAATGATGAAAAAAATGGTGCTTCTGTGTAAATCTAACAGGACAAATAGTGTCTAACATATATCTATTAAAAGAGAATTAACACTTTCATCATATAAATGAGGTGCAGCCATTTTGTTGCACTGATGTATTCCTAGGATTAGAGACTGGTTAAGTGGGTTGTGGGGAAATGTGCATCAGTTTGTTCCTTCTGTTTGTACTTCCTCATTCTAATCAGGTTCTTTTCTCCCTTTGCAGATCTCTTACATGCCCCTAAAATTCTAGGCTCTGCTTACTGAAAAGTCACAGTACTAAATCCCTGGTGCAGAGGCGTGGGGAGAGCAGTAAACTAGTTGGATTTTAAGTGTTACAATGACAGAAGATGATGGGAGGGTTAGTCAAAAGAACTTGCTCATAGGTCGTCCTTCACCCTGCAGAGTCTCCTGTGTCTTGTGAACTTGTAAGAGAACAGACAAGGTACAGGGAACATAGAGGTGAACAGGGGAGTCTCATGTCAGTACTGCTTTGGTCAATAAATGTAGCAGCTGTACCACTGCATGTAAGCATGGGGCCGTAGCTGGTACCACGGGATCTTACTGGCATGAGAAGGATGCCACAGGCCATATCTGAGAGGCAAAAAGTTGTCCTAGGAAGCCTGCAACACCAGTATTATTTTCATGATACTATAAATGAAGAAGTTTGTCAACATTAGGTAAGCCAAGAGCTGAGGTGTGGTCAGTGTTAATTTTAAAGCTTCAAAGGAGGTTAATGCTTCTGAAGACCACAAAATGGGCTCGGAGGTGGTATCTGGGAGGGGGCACACAGAGGCTTCTTAAGGGCAGCAAAAATGGGCATCCATTGCTTGCAGTAGTCAGTT